CAGGCAGGATTGGCTGATTTAAAAGGGAAGGCGGGCTCGAACGTCTTAACGAAACTGAGCAACACTAAAACACCACACAGTCTGACCTTGTGGACATTTGCAATCTTTGTATCCAGCTGCCCCCCAAATGGCCAAAGGTTTTCTTGTGATGTTGCTTATGTGGTTTCTGATACTATATCACACACAGTGGGGACAAAAAGTCTGGAAACACTTTAAAAATCTAGGATTTTTTTTTTTTCATTTAAACCTGTAAATAAACAACAAACTTTTGGAATTCTGAAATATTTAAAACAAAGACAAGTTACGACAAGTAAAATAATCAAGAAATATTCAAGATGCTGCACTATTTCTAGGTTGCGATTTAAATTTAAGCAAAATTTCACAAATTTCAACACATAATAAAGTGGTCAAGATGTCATTCAGAATGGTTTGGTGTGAAATTCTCCCATTTCAGAGAACTAAGTCAGAATTGTTCACAGTGGTGGTGATAGGAACCAGACGTCCACCTCTAAAAGCTCCCTCACAGAAAGTTACTACATGAAATGGTTATGAATTCACTGCCTGATGACTGAGACACTGTTTTATGATAGTTTTGAGAAGGTTTTGGCCTTAAAAGCCTTTCATGGTGGAGGGATACATGCAGGGCACTGTGAGGCAAAATAGTCCCTAAAGAAAACGTATCATTTCAGATTTTCCACTATTTACCATCATCAACATTCCACATAAACTCAGAAGACTCGTGTAGGTTCACTGGTGGTTTTGGATAGTAAATAAAATGTCTATATTTGTGTTGTAGTCATGGCGACCCCTGGTTCCTATCACCACCACTGTAAAGAAGCCTGAGCCTCTAGAATGGAGCATTTCATACCAAACCACTCTGAATGACTTCGTTTACATCTTAACCATTGAATTAAAAAGAAGTTTTGGAAAATCATTGGAATTCCCATTTAAAGCCATTGCACGAAAGGTCAGATTCTCAGTTTTTCAGTCATCTTTGTTCCACTGAAGCTCATATTCAGATGACTTTCAGGTGGATTTGATCTACTCATTAGAGACTTTTATGAAAACTTGCTGAGTCCAGCTCAAAAGAAAGACATACAAACACTAAGAAACACTAAAAAATTCTGAAATTCATGTTAAAATTTCAAATATTCTATATTTTAGAGAAATTGTGAGACAGATGATATAATTTGTAATGACACATTTTGTAGAAAATCAGAAAAAAGATACAAAAACATTCAAAATCATCAGACTTTTCGACTGTACTGTATCTACAGAAGTGGGTAAAAGCACAAGACAGCTAAAAAGAGTAGCAGCAGCCTTCGTTAAGTTCGAAAAATTATTCTATTACTTGTTGGCTACAAAAGCCTCAAAGCTCCAGTTCAAAACTAAAGCAGCAACCTTCAGACACCAAACACTGATTAACAACATTTGGGGTAGGAGAAGCAAACGGTGGAAATTCGTTTTTTTTGCCATATTAGTGCTTATAAAGGAGAATAGCTCCGTTCCTCCGGCTCGCAGTCAGAGCTCAGAGCCTCGCGGCCGAATCTGAACCAGCTGCATCCTCTTCTGAGGGAGCACAGAGCGCAGCACAGTAATTAAAAACTCTTCTTTAAATAATGAAGGATTTACAAAGCAAATCCTCCTGTTCCTGATTTACAGGCTCCCGCCGCCTGCTCTCGATTTAACAAGACAATCCCCCTCCATCTGCCATCCCAGACCACCGTCTAACCGAAGGGAAAAGAAATGCACCAGAGGCCAACGTGCCTTACTTTCTCATGGACAAACATGCAGTTGGCTTCCCTCTTATCCAGGGCTGTAGGACGCAACATTACAGCCACACATGCAGGAGGAAATTAATCCTCTGCGAAAGCAAATAAGATCATATGTGTGATCGACCTTCCTGTGTGTTTACATCTTCAATCAAATACTTGACCATGGGAGTCAGTTATTCATGGTCAGTTACTTGTGAGCTGTTATAACTACAAGACGTGCACAATATCGAATGTTTCCCCGCAGCCCAAGTCATCTCTTCAGTCGTAGCCATGCGAGCTGATCAGACGGGTTCTAGTGTTTATGGTAGTTGTAGTCCATCAGGTAATTTGAACGCTATCCGAAAATTTGTAAACAAACATTCCCACAAAGTACAAAATACCCACATGTTGTTTAGTCTGGGGTGCTAATATCTTAGGTAAATCCAACAACAATTTAAGATTTTGCTGATAAAAACCCCAAAACATCCAAAAATGTCTTTAAAAGCTTTTCTGAAGATTCAGAAGTTTAAGCGCCCCCTGCTGTGCCCATTCCCTTTGCTATATTTATCCTGTTTGCAAGAACTGATTGAGTTAAAAATCACTTATTAACACTGAGTCTTAGCATTAGGATGTAAACTATGAAGCATAAAGTTCGTCATAAAGCAGAGAAGGGCTTCATGGGTACATAACTTGCTGTCGTCCAAAATATCTACTACACAATGTGCTAATTCGAAAAAAGCTGTGCATCAAGCAGACGCCAACTGGCTTTCTGGTAGTGTTGGAAGTAGAACAAGACGTAAACAACACTTAAACCAGAACCAGAACTAGCGCAGAATTACAGTGGAGCAGTTTGATAGATGATTTTTGACCTTCCAAATATTTACACAATTGAGGATTATCTTCAAATATACATTTATATTCAAATTCTTATAAAAACAGTGACGTGAGTATTAATTCTTGGAGAGAGAGAGGAAATATGTCAGACTTTTCTGCACATTCTGGTATGGACGCTGCCCCCTAGTGCCCACATTTAACATAAAAAATTGAAACACAATGTAAAATGCATAACGTTGCTGTTGTAACAAAACCTTGTATCTCCAAAATGCGAACTTTACAGAGGATGAAAAAACATACTTTGCTTTCAATGTAAGTCAGTGGAACCAGATTTTTGTCCAAGTAATTTTGGGTCATTTCTTTTGGTCCATTCATCATGAAATTAACACATAATGTAAAGGGAAACAGCCATTTTCAAATTATGTCAAAAACTGAAAAACGACAAAAATAATTGAGACACGAGGTTTTGTTCCGACAGCAGTGATACGTTAGTATTTTCTCCAATTTGTCAAATTCAGCAAATAAATCGTCATCTGTATTGAAATGTGAGGAAGCGCGTTCTCTGTAGAGGATGTAGTAACTTGTTTTCACTTAGAAAATCCACAAAACGTCATTAGATCAGGGGCAGCCCAAGTTTTGCAAGTGCCAAAGAAAAGTGAGGTGGGATATAAGCTTCCATTAGCCTACTTAGCCGAGCAGCTCCAACACAAAACTGAAGAAATAGACTTCAGATGCGTTACTACAGTCGGAAAAAGGAAAACTCCTTGAGGAACTAGAGCTTTAAAATTCTCCCAGCACAAAAGCGCAGGTTGGCCGTTATTCCCAACCTTTCAGAGCTCAAGGGGCTGCAGAGGATCAAGGAGGATGAATGGCTCCTCATTTGTTCTTAATCCAAAGCTTCTCGTCAAGCCGAGATGACACAGAGGGGTTAAACTCCGCTGTGACACGTTTTTTCTCATTTGAAGACTAAGAAAGACAGAAAGAGACAGAAGGAGAGGAAGACAGAGAGAGAGGGAGAGGGAGAGAGTCCTCTTTTTCCGGGGCACGTTCTTTTCTTCTTCCACTTAAAGCACAAAATGTGAAAAGACACTCAGGCCTATTTATGGTTCCCTCTGTATGAAATATAAAAGTGCTAGAGCGTCCATGGCCCAGGTCAGCCTTGAAAAGACGATGGAAAAAAAGAGAAAAAGTCCCAAAAGAGAAACTGTGGTGGTGGTTGGTGGTGGTGGTGGTTGGTGGTGGTGGTGGTGGTGTTGCAGATCAAAGAGTCTTTCCAGTCTATTCAAATGCAATTGCTTCCAAATCACATTGAGCTGTTGCACAGTTTTAAAAGAATGGGTCACTGCCGTTTTATTGTGGAGAAGCTACCGCTAATGAAAGGGACAATGCGGAGATTAGTGCTGCCAGCCAAGCGGCTGAAGCTTCACTCTGGCTTTAATTGCGGTGAACAAGAGAGACGAGGAAGCAGGGCAAACACGGCACAATAGATCCACAAGCAGAAGAGGAGGAGCAGAGGTACAGCCCTTTCACAAGACTCAAGGTATGGCTTTACCTCAGACCCACAGAATTACAAAAGCTAATATGAGGACTCTTTTAAGATTCTGTACCTGCCAGACAGGTTTCACCATCCGGAAGAAGAGAATATGTACACGTGTGCATGGATATTAATATATGTGATGTCTGTCCATTGGATTTCCAAATATGTGGGATTTCTTAGATGTCTAACACTAAAATTGCAAATTAAAAGAAGTACATACATATCCAAACAAACAAAGAGTAAATCAATACATGGCTGCTGTCGGAACAAAACCTTATATCTCCAAAAATATCTCCAACTTTACAGAAGAAGGAAAAAACATACCTTACTTTTAATGTAAGTCAATGGAACCAGACTTTTTGTCCAAGTAATTTTGGGCTGTTTCTTTTGGTCCATTCATCATAAAATGTACACACCACATAAGGGCAACAGGCATTTTCAAAGTATGTCAAAAAAGACAAAAATGGACAGGTTTTGTCAGCAGCGAGATATATATTTAGCATATAAGAGGAAAAAAAAACATGCCAACTTTATGTGTTGAATTTCGCTAAATTCTCACTAATAACCTGCACTGGAAGGTTAGAGCCTGGATGTTCAATACCAATAACAATAACACAGGTGAGTCTATTAGCATGTTTTGTTAGAGTTAGGTGGATTGAAACATGACTCTTAATGAGGGAACTCCAGGTTCAGCCAATTACAGTAGACCATTCATTCCTCACTTATTACTGTCTGTAAAACTACACGCGCTGCAGATTCATACTGGATTAAAATCACTCCACAATTATTACCGTCAGACTGTAAAACTACACACACTGCAGATTCATACTGGATTAAAATCACTCACAATTATTACCGTCAGAGAAGTTGCTTACCAGCCCAATGCAGGTGGAGATGGCTGCAGATGAAGCCGAGTGGTTCCTCACGGTTCCCTGATAGAGACAGTTATGAACTGTAGGATCCACCTCAGTCGTAGTGATGCCATCCAGGCCGAAAGTCTGTACACTGAAGCCTTCAGCCACCACACCGGCCGGCCGCAGGTCCAGGTGTAATTCCTTGCCGAACGCAGAGAGGCGGTAGTGTACGGGTTTCTGACGGCCGCTTCCCGACAGAGATCTCCGGCTCCGGTGCCTCGAGACATCGTGAGAAACGAAGTCTCCAAAAGAGTCCACTTCAACTGGAGTCACAAACATGTAATCTGGAAATTCAAACAATTCGGAATTCAATTCAATGTAGGTCCAGATTAAAATTCTATTGATTCCTAGATGACTCAGGTAGGATGGCGGCTTAGGGCCACTGTTAAAAAATAAAAAAAGCAGACTTTGAGAATAAAGTCATATTATGATATATCGAGAATGAAGTCGTAATATTTTGGAAATAAAGTCGTAATACTTCGAGAAAAAAGTCGCAGAATTACGACATTAAAGTGGGATATTACCAGGAAAAGTCACAATATTGTGGCCAAAGGGTTTGCAAAAGGAAGGGAGCAACTCATGTTAAAATGAGGGGCGCTGAGGAGTCGGGAGTTATACTTTCATATTAGTTTCACCCATAAAAAAATACTCAGTCTGCTCAATTATTACTATAAGAAACGGCTGAAACGGCTGTGCTGGAAACTGTGTTTATTTAGATGAAAGAACCAGACGGACTCTAAGGAAACTGTCTGTTTTGTTGAAGGAGAACTCGCAGGCAGTGACCGGTAGTTAGCCATGTAGACGGCTGTGCCATTTGGAGAGGGCATATAGTTTCACAGAAGACGATGAGAATGATAATCAAAATGATCTCCAGTGTGCTCACGTCCTCATCGTCGCCAGTGCAGCAACCGAGACCTCAGCGTGTTATGGCAGCCCCCCTACAATTAGCCTATGTTATCCTCGAAATATGGCCAGTTTATTCCTGTAACTTTACGACTTTATTCTCAAGATATTATGACTTTATTCTCAAAATGTCGTACTGTACGACTTTTTTATCTCTAAATATTATGTATATGTATGTAATATGTATTTTTTTTTACAATGGCCCTAAAACGCCATCGTACACAATACAGTTCATAGTGATTCTCCTAAAACTCACTGGAAGAAACAGCATTGGACAAAAAGGAGCCATGAGAGCGTTATTATCTGGGCAAATCTGAGCATGTGTGACTTTATTGAAATCTCTTCTAAATCCCAAGAGGAGACACGTCAGATTACTTTTCTCAGGAGAAACATCTGACCACCAGGAGAAACTTTAGCATGTATGCTAGCTGGATGACTCTTTATGACCTCACTGTTGTCCAGGAGAAAATACAGAGATGATAAGGAGATCTCTGTTGTAATTTGCCTTCCCTACTGGTTATTATTACACAGTCTCTTGATCTGAAACATTTTTCAATAAAGCAAAAATAAAGGAGTGGCTGAAAATGTGATTTACATTAATATATAAATGTATTATATTTTCAGAGCATTAAACTTTATAAAAGTACAATATTTGAAACCAAAGCTCTGCTAATATAGAGTCTCGATTTAATGCTCTAGCCTCAAGCTAATATGTTAGCCTCACTTATATACGTGTAATGTGTAATTAATGTGTAAATATATCACCAAATAGTTGACCTTCGCCCATAAATGTGTAATTTCACAGCTAATGTTGCTGGGTTGGACAAACTGGTAGAACACTGGTAAAAATCCAATTCAGCCAAATTTGAAACAGTAATTCCCAAAAAAACTTGGTTGAATGAATAACCGACTCTAAATGTAGGTATTGTGATATAAACTGAGTCTGTTCTACAGTTTCTCATTAGGCTGAATGAGTAACTGACTCTAAATGTAGGTATTGTGATATAAACCGAGTCTGTTCTACAGTTTTTCATTAGGTTGAATGAATAACTGACTCTAAATGTAGGTATTGTGATATAAACCGAGTCTGTTCTACAGTTTCTCACTAGGTTGAATGAGTAACTGACTCTAAATGTAGGTATTGTGATATAAACCGAGTCTGTTCTACAGTTTTTCATTAGGTTGAATGAATAACTGACTCTAAATGTAGGTATTGTGATATAAACCGAGTCTGTTCTACAGTTTTTCATTAGGCTGAATGAATAACTGACTCTAAATATAGGTATTGTGATATAAACCGAGTCTGTTCTACAGTTTCTCATTAGGCTGACTAAGATGAGTCATATCATAGTCATATATGCAATATTTATTGTGTTCTCCTCTCTCTCTCTCTCTCTCTCTCTCTCTACTCTTTTTCCTATGTCTCTCACTCTACCGCATTGTCCTCTCTCTCCTCTGTTCTTTCTCTTCTCTCTTTTTCTCTCTTCTCCTCTCCACTCGTTTCTCCTATCTTTCTTGCACTTTCTCTCTATTCTTTTCTCCTATATCTCTCCACTCTTTTCGCCTGTCTTTCTCTCTCTCTACATTTTTCTCCTATCTCTCATGCACTCTTTCTCTCTCAACTCTTTTCTCCCATCTCTCTCGCTCTCTTTCACTCTGTCCACTCTTTTCTCCTCTCTCTCATGCTCACTCTTCCTCTTTCCCTTTTTCGTCCTATCTCTCTCGCTCACTCTTTCTTTCCCCTCTTTCGCCCCATCTCTCTGTCTCTTTCTCTTTCCACTCGTTTTTCCTGTCTCTCTTGCTCCCTCTTTCTCTCTCACTCTTTTCTCCTCTTCCTCTTTTTCTCTCTCACTTTCTTCTCCTATCTCTCTCACTCTCTCTTTGTCTTTCCACTCGTTTCTCCTATCTCTCTCGCTCACTCTTTCTTTTTACTTGTTTCTCTTGTCTCTCTTGCTCCCTCTCTCTCTCTCTTTTTTCTTCTATCTCTCTCACTCTCTCTTTCTCTTTCCACTCTTTTTGCCTGTCTCTCTCTCTTTCTCTCTCCGTACACTCTTTTCTTATTTGTCTTCACTCGTCTCTCCACTCTCTCCCTCTCTCCCTTTCTCACAGTACTTTTCTCTATCACTGCACTCTAGGAACTCTCTCTCTCTCTCTCTCTCTCTCTCTCTCTCTCTCTCTCACATATGGGAGCCACTTCAGAGTTTAAAGAGTGATTCTGAAGCCAAATGAGCTGCAGCTTCCCACACACTAACACACACACACACACACACACACACACAAAACACACACACACACACACACACACACACAAAACACACACACACTTTATGCTGAGTTTCTGCAGGTGATGAAACACACACTGACCGTGGTTGAGGCCGGTGGCTCTGGGACACGAGTCTGAGGCTGAGGAACACTGACGAGTCTGCAGAGCACACAGCAGTTATAAATGCAAGAGTTTAAACACCATCTGGGCAGTGAGTTTGTTGAACACCAGAACACAAACAGATAAACACAAATACAGTAAACGATAATAAAGTTTCTCCAGTTTTCATAAAACTAGCCGATATCGTTTGAGCTGGAAAATGTCTGGTTCTACTAGGCACCTCCAGCCATTGCATGGATTTGCTGAGTTCCATCAGCAGCACTTACTTTAAATGAATGAAGTATTGATTAGCCAGTGCAGGTATTGATGATAACTACAGATAACACTGAGCTTCTTCAAAGAGAGCTCCAGTTAAAGCATTAACACCCTCAGAATCATAATATTAGTAAATAAATGTTACTGCACAGAATAATAACTTTACACACCGTGTTCTCGGGTGCCAACACTTTTGCACGGTGCTGCATACTGTATACATACACCCACGCGCGCTTCAATGTAAGCACATCCAAGCGCACGCGCGCAGATTTATGCAAACATGCATGCACATGCACGCACACATACATACATACCCATGCATGCGCGCGCACACATGCACACACTTGCACTTTACCTGGATCACCTTAAACAAGTGAACACGTAAACAAACAACTAAATAAACAAACCGACAGCGTCACGTGCCTGCTCGTGTCCCTGGCTGAAGCTCAGAGCGGCGCACAGCAGCAGCAGCGGCGTTAGATCCATGCGGACACACACACACACTCCTCCTCAGCAAACCGGTGACCGGGAGTCCGCGGGCGCGCGCGGGGCAGCGTTCGGGCATCGCGTGCAAGCTTCCCCTCCTCCTGCTGCTGCTGGGCTCGCGGACAGGTAGCGCTCCCCGTGTGAGTGAGTGACTGTGTGTGTGTGCGTAGCCTCCACACAGCACGAGCCCAGAGTGGCAGCCGGTGGAGAGGGGGAGGCGGGGAGGAGGGGGAAGGGGGGGTGAGTGGACCAATCAGAGCAGAGCCGGAGCATCGGTGGGACTTTACTTTGAGGGATGTACACTGAGAGAGAGTGAGAGAGAGAGAGAGAGAGAGAGAGAGAGAGAGCAAGAGAGAGAGAGAGAGAGAGAGTAAAAGATCGAGAAAAACTGAGAGACTGAAAAAGTGAGAGAGAATGAGAATAAAAGAGAGAATGAGAATAAAAGAGAGAGAGAGAGGGGGGGGGGATAGATAGAGAAAGAGAGCGAGTGAGTGAGAGGGAGATAGACCAAGAGGGGCAGAATTAGAGAGAGAGAGAGAGAGAGATAGGGAGAGAGATGGACAGAGAGGCGCAGAAAGGGAGAGTGAGGGAGATAGTGAGAGGGTAAAGGACAGAGAGAAACAGAGAAAATGTGTAAGTGAGAGAGAATGAGAATAAAAGAGAGAGTGAGAAAGATGGATAGTAAAAGAAAGAGAGAGACAGAGACAATGAAAAGAGTGAGTGGGAAAGAGACTGAAAGAGAGAGGAGAACGAAAAGACTGAGTAAAAGAGTTTAAAGAGCTGCAGAGAGAGTAAAAACAGAAAGAGGAAAAGAAAGAGGGAGAGAGACAGAGAGAGAGAGGGAGAGAGAGAATAAGAATGAGTGAGAGTAAAAGAGAGATAGATTTAAGATTTAAACCCTCTTTATGTGCCAACCCAGTCAAAAAACCACAATCAAACAAAAGAAGTTAATTAATTTCTTCTGTCCTTCTGTTTACAATTTAAAAAACAATTGAGAATCATTGTCAACACAGCACACCCCCCCCCCACCAAAAAACACCCCCCCCCACACTGTCCACCAGCCTGTAATATGCATGTTTAACTTATAACGCCCGCTAAACAAAACTGTCCTGTTGTGGCTCCACAGCTGAATCAGATTTGTAGGTAAAAATAAAATAATCCTCCTTTACAGTAAAATAAAGCTCTGCTGATCGTTCAACACAGTTTAACAATAAATGGTCTTAAACTCTGGAGTTAATGTAGAACTGCTAATTCACCCTTTAACCATGAAGATCAGCGCAGACTGCTGGTCACCATAGCAACACAGACAACAGTCTCGTCTAGCTAGTAGCTAACGAAACGGCAGAGAGAGAGATTTAAGACGAACATCGATAATTTGGAGACGAATGGACTTATTTGTGTTTATAGTCACTCCAGCTGGTTTCCTGATACGTTTAATCTGCAGCGAAAAACTGAAACACTAAAAAGTTACTAACCTGAAGTCAATTTCTCATTCGAATTGTCCCGTTCCACCTTAAACGGTGCAGCAGTTATATTCTGCCACCTCAGGCACCATTTAAGGTGGAACGGGACAATTCGAACAAGAAGCTGGTGAATGAGCAGCGAATTCAGCCTAGTAAAAAATATTGAACGTTGAGAGACATTTTACAAAAAACTTCTACTTTTACAAGAAAAGCAGCTGTAGCTGAGTTAAAGCTTAAAGTTTTAAGTCTGTGTTTTCATTTATATTATATTTTTTTCCTAAACTAGCACATCAGCACATACTGAGACAGATTTACAGCCAAGATAGTAAAATGGACATAAGGTGTTGTGGCTCCCAAGGTGGTTTGATTTTTGTAGAAAGGACAAAATGGCTCTTTTCAACATTTGGGTTGTGACTCCTGGGTTAGAAATAGAGAGTAAAATATCATTGACTTTAAAATACTGTTATTGGCCAAATAACTTTCAGAGAGCAGAAAAAACAAACAATTTCTCGATAACTTAAAAAATAGTTAAACTATAGTAAACCTTGTCAATAGACTAAAGTTGTATGCAGAGGTTTGGGCACCCCTGAACAAATGACATGTTTTTGTTGATTTTCCTCAGAGTAGAAGGTGCGTTAACTTATTCTCACTTAAAAAATCGACATAACTTGCAATTTGATATTCAGACTTTGGCACACGACTGTATGTCGTACCCAAGGCAACTTCAGCAACACCAAAGCCCAGCATGAAGTCTTTAAATCCCCGGGGAAGATGACACTGGCATTGTGGGCACACATCAGTCCACATCAGAGTTGGAGTGGCAGCCAGTGGGCTGGGAACTGGGTCAGGGCATATGTTGTCTTTGCCCCCTGTTGGCTCACTGTGGGGTGTAACGAGGGCAATAGAGTGCCAGCAGTACTGCAGCACCACAGTACATCTCACCTCAGGCACATCCAAGACCCACTCCAGACCTCATTCAGTGGACAGGGACAGGTCTCTCTTGCAGGTCCTTCCTGACCACATCAGCTTCTCTCCTGTCTGAGCCTGGACTGCCAACTCATGCACTACCTTGAGGTGCTGTTGTAGTGGCACAGCCTAGGGGTACACCTGGTGAACTTTTGGACTGCTCTTCAAGATGCCCACAGGATAAGGGGTAGGTGGCTGTCCCAATCACACTAGTGTCAGATGACAAAAATAGCAAGCTGGAAGGAGGTCGACCAGTCTGTAACGCTGCATATAAAAGTGGTCAATGCTTGTATCCTTGATCTCCAGGATGTGCCACAAAACTTTTGATCCTGACTGCTGTGTAATTCTTCATGGCACCAAATTAGCAGAACATTTCTTCTAAAAATGTTTCCATGGCACTCTACTGCCTTCGACCAGTCTCAAACTGGTCCTCAGGGATGCTTAGATGGTCCAGATTTTGCCTCCATCTAACTTGAGATAGAGCAAAAACATGGACCACCTGGGGGTCCCTGAGGGCTGGGTTTGAGAACCATAGCCTTAGACCTCTAAGGGAAGCAGTCAATTGCAGAGCAGTTCCTGAAATCCATGGTGAGAATCAAGCCCAAATAGCTAGGAAAGTGCTTTACAAGTGCCACCACCAGAAACTGCACCATTGGGAAGTATGAACAGCAGTTTAATGGTGGATGTTGCAGGAATCACAGCAATGGACACCCTGTCAGCACATTGCCCAATATAATTGACCCAAAATAAAAGGAACATTTGTATTACCAAGTGGCCACCTGCTGTAAATCCATGATCCATGCATAGGACTTTTTGTAGCAGAGGGCCCAGAACACTACAGCAGCTAGAAATGAAGACAGCTGTGCAGTGCAAGTCCCACTGTGCGTTGTAGGACATTGACGCAAGATCAGCTGAGTGATCACTTCTCTGTCTCCAAGCACTTTTTCACCTGGGGTCACTTCAATGGCAGCCCCTCATCCATTGTGCCGTCTGATTGAGATGCAGTAGTCTCACAGATCCAGCTGTGCTCTCAGAACGAGAACATCTGGGCAGAACCATGAGACGTGTTGGGCTAAATATGGGTGGGAACAAAGTTTGTGAAATTTCTAAACCAATCCAATGCATCATGAAGGTGGAGCTCGAAGTAGGGGGCGATCGTGTGCTCGTCAACGTTGTTCAACAGACAACAAGCCTGTCACTCAGGCATGAATGTATTGTGAGTTAGCATGGCTTAAAAGTCCCTCAAGGGATGTAAGCATGTAGACCCATGAGTGGAGAAAACATTACATGGAGAAAAAACAAAACCACTTGCGAAGGAAAAACAGCTCTATTAAATTAGACTTTATCTTTAGAAGATATCAAGTACCTGAGTTACTACCTTCAAACAAAGTAACAAAGAAGTGGTTTCATGGATTGATTGTACTCCTGATCTTAAAAGAACACAGACTAAATGAACATAGTGGGGGATTTCACCACAATCCAACACCAAAGGTTTAGGTTGTGCCCAGACGTGTATTCTTGTTACAAGATCATGTCTGGCAAGTTTGGGGCGCAGCGACTATGAAGGATTGTAGTCTGAGCTTCTCCTGCAGACAGAGGAAAAAAGGGGACATCAACATTCCAGCTGTGTCAGTTAGCTCTGCATATCAAAGTCAAAGTCCTGTAGGACTTTAACCCACCAAGCCAATTGTCCTTCTGGTCCTTGCAACCTAAGGAGCAACATGTAGAGACATCCAGGAGGAAAGTGGTCATGCAAGCAGGAGTCCTGGAGCAATGTCAGGAGCTCCTGATGGATGGATGCAACACATTCTCTTGTCTTTCCTTCTTGAGACTACCATGCCAATTGCCAGGTTGATGGCATCAATGTCAGAGAGCACCAGGACAAGGGGCTTCATGAGCCTGACTTGGACCTAGACGAATGCAATGGTGCAGGCATCGTACCACATGATCAGCCACTGCTTATCTCAGGAGTTGTAAGGAAAAAAAATGGCCCCGGACGGTGGTGCAATGTCAGCTTGAGGAAGCCACGTCCTCTACAGGGTCCAAATTAATCCTTGACCTCAGCAAATGTTGCTTGATCAGTAGGCACTGATCAATCCAAGCTGACCTTTGTTGATTTGACTGTCCTTTGCTGAAGTTGATTGTCCTTGTTTTTTGTGTTTCCCATTTTTAGGCATAGATTAATAACTTTTAAATTTTCACCATAGTCCAGTAGTAGCCGACTCGGTCCTCCCTAGATGGTCCACATTTTTCCTTCATCCCTGTGTATTGCACGTTAGGTTGGAACAAATATTTGGACCATCTTGGGGGTCTCTGGGACCAGTTTGAGAACCACAGCCCTAGACTATGCTGGTGCAAGTTTTGATGAAATGTTATATTCACGTGAGAGTCATGTGACACCTTTTTTTGAATGATGCCATGAGCCCAAAGCATGCCTGCCGTAAATGAAAAAACAAAATGGTTTGAGCAGCTAGAGCCTCTGCAGCTGCCGCACCATCAGCTTTAACTAGGTAGCCTAAGAATGTGGTCTCTTGGCACTGCAAGTTGCACCTCCTGACAATATTTGAACATTTGGTGGCCTTAAGTGACATCC